AGGAGGGGAGAGGAGGACATGAGAGAGCAGGAAGATTTAGTCAGGGGAAGAATTGAAGCGAGCAAGAAAAGAGATACCACAATAAAGGGAGCCATTATAGATTCAAAGAGAATTCTGGCACTAGGAAAATGTCCAGAGATCTATGAGTTTGAGCCCAACTAACAATCTAAGCAGTTGTTGAGAGGCTACCTTCAATGCTCTCCTCTGATAATGAGATTGATGACTACCTTATATGCCATCCTAGAGCCTTCATCCAGTAGCTGATGGAAGCAGAGGCAGACACCCACAGCTAAACACTGAGCTGAACTCTGGAATCCAGTTGCAGAGAGGGAGGAGTAATGAGCAAAGGAGTCAGAACCAGATTGGAAAAACCCACAGGGACAGTTTATCTGAACATGGGGGAGCTCATGGACCCTAGACTGAAAGCTAGGAAACCACCATAGGACTGTTCCAGACCCCCTGGGCTAGATTGTCAGTTTGGAGGTCTGGGCAATATATGGGGCCCCTGGTAGTGGATTAGTATTTTATCCCTAGTATACAAATGAACTTTTGGAGCCCTCTCCACATGGAGGGATACTCTCTCAGCCTAGACACACAGGGGAGGCCCTGTTCCAAATGATGACAGACTTTAAAGATCCCCCATGGAAGGCCTCGCCCTCCCTGTGGCGCAGAAAGGGATTGGGATGGGGTGGGGGAGCAGGATAGGGGGAGAGGGGGAGGACACTGGGATTGACATGTAAAAAGAAGCTTGTTTCTAATTTTAAAAAATCACATATTTGTGGCTGGTGAAATGTTTCATTGGATAAATGTACTTGCTGTCAAAATCTAAGGACCTGAATTCAATACCTATAACCCACACAATGGAATGAGAGAACTGACTCCTGCAAATGGTTCTCTGACTTCCATATGTTCAGGATGGTATGCATGCACACATACATACCTCCCTTGCACAGAGGAACAAATGTAAGAAAAATAATCAAATTACGTAGTTGACCATTAGTGTTAATCATATGTACAAAATACTTTTAAACTTGGAATTTTAGAAAAAAATAGACATTTCTTTACAAAACTTTTCAAAAACAAAAAGAATCACAGAAATCTTTAAAATCAAAGTAAGTTCCTCTTAACTCTAGGATCATGGGAGCTATGTATTTACATACAGGATGGAATTCTTGCAGTAGGAGATTATCTTCATGACCCAATATTATGACCATGGTCAAATAAAATTGTCATACTATTGACCTCCCACAACTTCCCTGAGAAGAAAACTGTTACTGTGAAATTCTAATCAAGAAATCTATGTGCATTATATGATATTTTGATGGGAAAAGAAAGAATACGGTGGCCATCCTGCCATTCTTGGCTATATAGGAACAGGCTGGATTCCACATCCAATGCCTCCACTTCCCAAGGTTGGATAAGAGGCTTGTGTTGCAACACCTGGCCTGCATTCACATTGATGATTAAGGGAGATGGTGACAGCTCATGTCCGTGGTCCAATTACATGGAAGACTGAGTTAGGAATATTCCTAGAACCCAGGCAGCCAAATTGACCATGAAGAAACAAACAAACCAACCACCTTTGGGAGATCGATTAACAGAACTTGATTATGCTCTAATCTACTCTAGGGTGCGGCTGGGGCTGGTGGTAGCCAGCCATGGCCTGGTTTTGACACCCTCTTTGTTATTGTATGATGAAATCTTCTTGAAGCCGGAAGGCACTCCTGGGAATTTACAAATATTTTAACAATACTTCATA